GGATGGTATGTGCGTAAATACGTGCAGCTACCGTAGCGTTTATTGGCAACATGCCTACGGGAAACTCGTCCGAAATTGCTTTTTGAGTCATTAAGAACGAAGGCTTTTCTTCGCAGGTTTTTGACCGTTTCACTTCGTTTTTTCGCCATTTTCCCCACTATATAGCGCCCTGCTAGCATTTAGACCGAGTACCAAATTATCGTGCCAACTACCTCCAAAGCTTTTCGCCAGAGCCGCCGATGTTGCACTGTTGGAACACTGCCTTTTCTTATCAATTCATCGGAGATGATCACTGGACGATAAGCTAACATATCACAACACATGGAAACTCGATATCTCGAATACCGTGGCAATGACGTAGCGAAGCGAATCCGTGCAGATCAATCTTCAATTACCATCTGTTGACGTCTATGGGGCGGCTGCATGTTGACATTTACAAGAACCTTTCATCGTCGTGCGCTGTGTGAAGGAGATGCCGTGAGAGGTGTAGTCACAGGTTTGTGGTCTTGTTTCACTCCCTTACGGTTGAAAAGGTTGGAAGAAATGGTCACCGTCAAGGCAACGTGTAACATTATCTATCTCGTCTAGCACAGTGACATCTTCAGCCTGCTCGTATGGTGACACTTGTGCAAAAGAGCAATAAGGAAGAGAAGGCTGGAGGGTGATGTACTTAAAGCCCCAACGCTAGCTTATCAGAGACTTCAGTGAAAGAGTTAGGCCGAGTTCATAGCTTGCGTTCGTGAAGAAATGCCGAATCTGCAGAAGTGCGGAAAGGCGAATCTGAAATCCAGTCACTTTCTTCGATCGCCATACGTATGGTAATGCTTCTTCACTTTCCGCCACGTCTTCAGATTCGGCACGTCTGCAGTTTCGGCATTTCTTCACTTTCTTCAAATCGATACGTATCCATTGCTTTTCTTCACTTTCGGCATTTCTTCAGATTCCGCACTTTCGGCACTTCTGCAGATTCGGCATTTCTTCACGAACGCAAGCTATGAACGCGGGCCTAGATGCATGCCGAGTATCCTTCTATTAGGTTGACCGGAAAGTTTCCCGCCATTGAATTGGTGAGGAATCCAACGGCCAAGCTTTGCGACTTTACCAATCTTCTCCAGCCCAGATTCAACAGTTGATTGGGCATGGCCGAGCATCGCTGCAAGTTCCCTGGTAGTGGCGTACGGATCCTCTTCCACGGTGGATTGCAGCAACTTCAAGTCTAACTCCATCGGCGCGCGCGCGGACCTGTGGAGCCATCTTGGAGAGAAAAATCTCCTTTCTTGAACTTGGCCATCCAGGTCTTGCACGTGTCGTAAGAGATAGCGTCAGCGCCATATGTATCCACTATCTTGGCTTGGGCTTCCTTTGCGTTTAAGCCAGACTGATGAAGGAAAAGAAGACAGTGCCTCAGGTGCATCCTGTCGGGTTGAAACTGGCGCATTTTGGAATCCAAATTGCAAGCTTGGCATGGACGTGATGTGAGGTAGTGATGTGAAAGAGTCTCTTGCGTGCTTCATGCACACCCCACGATAAGTCATAAACATACATGCAAGGCTAATATGGTGCGATCAAACACGTGCGGGAAACTTTCCGGTCAACCTAATACTTGCACTCGCACGTAGATCCTTTTTGCTAGTAAATGCCACTCGCCCTCTGCACATGCTCTTCTCCAACACCTCACCGTCCCGCATCATGGTATCTGGAGGTGAGTACAAGGGGAGGATGCTTATTGTTAGTATACACAAGAGAGGGGATTACTGCGGCTACCATGTGAGACTTTATCATCACAGAATCGTAATGATCATTAACTTAGCGCGTCACGGGTATTTTTCGGATGTCTTACACAGCAGTAGAAGGGTGTAATCACAAATATTAGTGTGGCGGGAAAGTTCTATCACATTTTTCAAATTAGGCCTTTTCTTTCATAGGAGAGGGTTGTAAAGGCCTGCGCGTTCATCCGTGCGATGTAGTCGTCACTCGTCGACGTAACCGGACGTTTGCGACGACAAGCTTCGCGAGACCATTATATACGTATCGATCCGACGTTAGAACGGCAATCGCGAAACCGCGAAAAGCTGCGTGCAGTGACGAAAAGCTGACTCGTAACCGACGACTACTTCACGAAAATTAGATACTTATCGATTCGACGAAACCGACGTTTTCGGTGGAAGGAACTAAACCGACGTAAGTGACGTACCGACGTTTTCGTCGGTTCAATCACGTCGACGGGTGCATCGATAAGTATCTAGTCTCTAGTCGTCGAAAACGTCGGTTACCGCAGCTTTCGTCGGTTTCGTCCGTTACGTCGGATCGATACGTATATAATCTTCGCGAACTAGTCGTCGAAAACGTCGGTTACGTCGCTTTCGTCGGTTACGTCGACGTTGACGACGCCGTCGCACGGTATGAACGCAGCCTAAGATCAAAATTGTACAGCGATGTTACTGCGGTGTTCTTGCCCGGTAGCACCTCACGCGATGCATCGCTTCACAAGGAGGCGCCATCGCAAAGGGACACCATCTCAATCTTGGAATTCTAACTCGGCTTATGTAGGTTTATCTCGTCCATATAGACGCATTGAGTACGGAAGCAACTTGCAGTTAGAATGGCAGCCATAGTCTGCGCTACACCCGTTGCAAGCAAGCATCCATCCAGCTCTAGTGCATGAGCGTACAGGCCCTTCCAACTTTTTTGGACGGAGTGCGCGGTTCACTAGGGGCGATGACGGCGCGGCTGGTGTGGACAATACGTTACCTCTGGTCGGACGATGCGCCTTGATATCTCGTAGCTGCTTTGCGTACGCATTGACCGAGGAAGCAGCTTCTTCTTTTAGCACTTTCACAACCCGCAGTTCCCTAGATCTGAGTTCACAGGTAACCCAAACATCACTACGTCATCAGAACTGTAGGCTCCCGCTTTGAAGCATTAGCGTCGTGGAAGGTTGTTCGATAGTTGGGGGCATCGTACTTTATGCAGGTCCATACATTTAGCATCTGCTGGGCTGTCATCTGGTGTCAGGGTGGCGAAGAAAGGGTTTGAGGATAGCGCTGAAGGACCGCGTCGCCAGATGGTAGCGGATAAAATCCTCCGCTGTCCATATTACAGAAGAAGGAGAAGCAGGAGTCAAGCGAGTGGTACTAATAGAAAGACCATTCCTCATTGTATAAGGGCTCACATTACCGGTTACCCCTCTTTCTGGCAAGAGGCAAGTATCATTGAAGTCGAAGGGCTGTGACAGGAAACATTTTCCGCTAACATCATCAGAACAGACTGCTATCGGGCGGCTTAAAGGCAAAGCCCGCACCGACAGCATTGTACGGTACGAACCCACAAGGGTACGAAGAGGCTTGGTATCTTGCCGCCCCGATTAGCGGAAAAAAAGCAGTCGGAAAAAAACAGCGAATAATGCGCCTTAAATAGGGATAACAGTATCGACCCCAACTTGTACATGCATGCAATGAAGAAAACGCATGTTTGTACGAATTTCCACTCGTCGTTATCATAAAGATATCAGCTCTTTTATCTTATCACCTCACTCTCACCATTCGGAATGGAGAGAGATAGTATAGTGGCTACTAGCTAGTAGCTAGCAGCCGGTTGGGGTCGGCATGGGCCTAAGGGGTTAGCTTAAACGGAATTTCTTGCGACCTCTATCTTCTTTTTTTAAAGGTAGCGCAGCCTCCGCAATCTCCTTCCGGATCGTCTGACACATTTGAAAGGTCATAGCCTTATTTTATCGCGGAAAGTGCCTTTAAAGCACACATGCCGTACGCCTCACAACACATTGAGGGTGTATGAGACTATCAGCCCCCAGCTGTCGATGTGTCGTGGTCCCCCGCCCAAACATGCCCAGGAATGGAGATACAGGACCGTGAAACACGCTAATTTCTCCATGCTCCGCCTTACACCTTTTTGCGGCGCAGATTCCCGTCCTTCATAACATCCGTCGTAAGCGCGCGTGTCGCGTGCGGCTCCTTGGCACTTTGCCAAGTCCTTATTGCGCTCTCAATACAAGCAAAACGCAATTTCCTGATGCGAATAAAATTTTAGGTGTTGCTCATACTTCAAAATCCATGTACAAGGAGATGAAGATGACACAGGCTAGAAATGAAGCACAACGATGTAAATGTAAATAAAACGAAAATGAAATCAAGGAAAGGCAAATTAGTTGAAATCGCCTGTAAATTTCTACGATCCGGCGCGAATCCGGCGCCAAAGCCATAGAAATACTTAGAATAAACGAGTGGGACGCTTGGATTGTTTTATTCTCATGTTTTGTGGGAATGCGCGGCCTCTGATGGATACTGCAGATGCAGCCGAGTTGCTCTTGAGTTCTGGCCCTCGTCATCATCTTCTGTTCTTATTTTGTAGTAGCACCTCAATGTTATCCGCATCAGGAAATGCGTTTTCCCCTGTATCTGAGAGCGCAATTAAAGGACTTGGCAAAGTGCCAAGGAGCCGCACGCGACAGGCGTGCTTACGACGGATGATTAATGACACGCGCGGGAATCTCCGCGCCGTCAAAAAAGGCAGTGGGCGGCAGCCATGGAGGAATTAGCGTGTTTCACGGTCCTGTATCTCCATTCCTGGGCATGTTTGAGCGGGGGGACCACGACACATCGACAGCTGAGGGGCTGATAGTCTCAATAGGAACCCTCAATGTGTTTTGAAGCGTACCATGTGCTCTTTAACCGCTCTTTCCCTAGTCTTGTTAACAGCTGGTTTTTCCATTCTTTCCAATCTTTTCTTCTCTTGGTCAACCTATCATAGTGCTCTGATGCCCTCCTTACGCGAATGTGAATGCGAATGTAAGTGCCCTATGTAGAGAGTAGGAAGGAAGGGAGGGGATGTATTAACACTGTATATGCAGTGATACGTACGATACGATCGCCTGGTTGCTCGAGAGTGAGAACCATCCCTGTAATCCTTTCAGATCAGTCACGTAATAACAAAAACCTGTAAAAAGGCTT